TGTAGGTGTGTTTGTTTCATTTCATGGTATTATTATTATTATTATTATTATTATTATTATTATTATTATTATTATTATTATTGTTATTTTATTTTGTCCTTGCAGTCGATTCACTTCCAGTGTGGAGGTAAAAGAATTGCAATTGGCATATGAGTCTGAAAAGAAATTCTAAAAGGATGCAGATTAAACATGAAATGTGATCAGAGCTGCCAACTGTCATGCCTGAAGCAGTAGATACATGATTTTATGCTCAATCTCTCATCGCTCCCTCTTACTCTTCTGCTCTCACTTCTGAAGAGGTCTCACACTTGGAGAAAATGCAGCCGACAAAAGGTGGATAACACACATGAAACTGACCGATGTTGCTATCTGGCCTAAACCTGAATATTGGAGGTATATTGTAGAAAATTGGGTTTAAAACTAAATACTAAGTAACTGAGTGTAAATTTGAAGTTGAAGAATTCAGAAACTTTAGTTTTTTTAGTTTAGTGTCAGAAAAAGATGATTTATTTCACTTTTATATATGTATCAGTGTGTGTCCTGCTGTCCTTCTTATGTCAGACTTTTAGCAACATCATCAATCAACTCACTTAAACAGTATGTATGTGTGTGTGTGTGCATGTGTGTCTGTGTGTGTCCCAGCCCACCAATGAAGCTGTGCCAGAGGTTCATCACATCACAGCATCAGGGGCATTTGTTTGAAACTGAAATAAAAGTAAAGCCTATGAATAAAAGAGCCACATGAATAAAAAACACAGGATGCAAATGACTTGCCACGCAGGGATTTTGAGTGTGTGTGTGTGTGTGTGTGTGTGTGTGTGTGAGAGAGAGTGAGAGTGGAAGTGTTGTATTCACCCTGCATTTGTTCCCTATCCCATCATGGTTGCACTGAGTGAGTGAGCGCACACACACACACACACACACACACACAGACAGGATTCCATGCTCTCTGAGGTGTATGGTTTTCTTATGCATTAATCAACAGCAGTTTTGACACTTGGCTCTCGAATGAGGGGAGAGATTGGTTTTTACGGAGCCACGCTGTTGGTTCTCTCCACTCCACAAGCACTGCTAGCACTGCCTGGGGTGACTTTATCAATTAGGCCTCTCTGGAAACAGCAGCATCCACCCTCTTTCTTTTATCCTCCATTTTTCTTCCTTTTTGCTTATTTGTTCTTCCTCTCTGTACCTCCCTACCTGACTCCTGTCCCTCCCTTCTCATGGTGCATCTTTCTCTTGTCTCTTTTCCTCCTTGTCTATTACTGCTCAAACCTTCTTCCCACCCTTCACGCTGCTTTCCTACTCTATTGTCTTTTACTCATCTATACTATATCCTTTGTCACTTCTTCCCTCATTTTTTGTCATTCCTTTGTCCTTTCTACTCCATAAAAACATAGGATCACCTTCCAAATATTGAGTAGCCTATCATTTATCCCAAGTCTGTGATTGTCAGTGCCAGTGAAAATGGCAGCAAGCTAATGGAATAATGTATCAAAATAAGAATATGAAGCTTTTTTGTGTAACATTATTGATTTTTATTAAGATTTACATAGTTAATTGCAGGTGGTGCTCATTTCTTGTCTTATCATGAAATGAATGCCAAATATGACGTTTTCTTATTTTGTACACAAATTCTCTCTATTTTTGTCACTTCATTATTGACAAAAAAATGCCAAATGAAAAAGACAACAGGAGATGATAGGGTGTTGTTTTTAAGAGAGAAACAGTTTCCCATTTACCTCTTAAGAAAGTCTTATCTTGACAGTGTTCCCAAAACCACCAGGGAGCTCCTGAATTTGTGAAGCACAGTTAAACTGATAACTTGCCAGTTGTCTAAAATTAGGAAATTGTGTCAACAGTTAAGTGTTAAATTTCCAAACCATAATTTAAATAGTTTCTATAGTCAAAATATTTTCGCTGATTTAATTCTGGTCAGTGGGCTGTTGAGTTAAATTAAGTTTAATCAATTTGACTTGACTAAATTATCTCAAAGTATTTATCAAAAGAGGATATAAAAGTTGTGGAAATAACATCCCACAGTAATGTAATAAAAGTGACAATGCAGCGTTTATCTACTACAGGTATATATAACTGTGGGCAGGGGATGGTCAGCATCAGGGAGAGCAAGCATATTGAGTTTTTGCTATTTCCTGTCAGTCAGACTGGTCTGGGACCTGCTGAGTTGCGCCTCCGGGCAGCTCAGGGCTAAAAGTGAGTTTTTTGACAGAAAAACTGAGAGACTTGGATGGTAAACCCGGTGAGATGGACAGCTCATTTGCATCACACCTTTGCACTTAAGCTGGGAGATATGATGAAGACTGCAAAACTCAGTGCTACACTCAGCCTTGGGCAAGAATAATAAAGAAAGATGTTAGAAAGGAGCAAAACAGGGGGAAATATAGTAGCAACATCTGTATCAAAACCTGGCCTGTCTTTGGCACTATTTCCCCAAATCAGTTTACTTTATTCTGCTGGTGATTAGATAATATCAGTTACCTAGCACAGCCACAGTTCCTGCTTTGTGTTTGTAACGTCACTGCATCATATTTTATAAATATTTTATACATCATACTGTGGCGAATACATTTTTTATCTGGGTGGCCATATTTGACAATGAGTGGCTCACCATTCATCCCTCACATATAAAACACTCTACAGTCTGTATTGTGGAAGAGTGGTTGTCTACCGGACATGCTTCATGAGCGGAGCTGAAGAGCTGGTGTGAAGCTTCAGCAGAATTGTGTGCAATAATGAGGCAACGCCAAGCAATGCCTGAGTGTAGTTGGGGTCTTTCACAATGTGTCCCTAAAGGGCTACCATACATGTCACCAATGACATATACTGATGAGTTTGAGTATGTGTGCATGCTAGTGGGTGGTATGTGTTTGTGAGTCAAGAGGGCATGTGTGCATATGTGCACGCTGTATGCACTGTATGTGTGCATATGTGAGCTAGTGTGTGTGTGTGTGTTCCTCCTTGGTCTTGGGAGCTTACAGGCTCTGTGCGCAGAGGTTCCCTAATCCAGTGTTTTGAAATGAGCCCTCCAGCTGTTGTGGGGTTGAGAGACTGCTGCCTTGGAGGAGGCTTAGAGATGATAAGATGCTCCTTCTATCTTCAATTCCTCCAGGATATTTCTTTCTTTCTTTCTTTCTTTCTTGTGTTTTGCACATTTAATATCTGTGTGGTCATGAGCAGTAACTCTTAGACTGATCTCATGCTGCCGATACAAGCGCACATTCTGTTAAAGTTGTAACCTTTTATATTTCTTCCTCCTCTTCGCTGTTAATCCTCCAATAAGAACAAAGGGTAGATTGAGTCTGTGCAGGAAGTGAACATTGTGCACACAGAGGATAGAAGACAATCAGATTAGAGTAGTGAGCTAAGAATTTCTTATTTATTGTATTTCTACTGATGGTCTGAGATTGTAGATGTCATAAGAGTGATGAAAGCTCATTAGCTGCATTGTGACGTACATGCTGCTTAATGAGCGCAGTCTTATTATTTAAGCAATTGAGTTACAGTGAGGACCTGCTACTGTAAATGATACATATTGACATTCCAGTGGAATATAATGCCTTTAAGTGAAATTGCTTGCATAATTTATGGGACTTCTTTTCATGAATATATCTCTTATAAACCACAGCTGAGCGGAGCAGTTCATGCGCTGCCTATCTCCCTTTGTGCCGGCAGTGAGCCTTGCGGGGCGTGTGGTGTCTGCCAGCAGAAGGGGAAGCGTAGGAAGTCCAGGAGGTTTCAGACAGACAGAGAGGTAGCAACAGGCAGTCTGTCAGCTAGAATGTGATGGTGATATGCAAAAACCCAAATTCGGCAGAATTTAATTCTGAAATTGTCAGCAGATGGAAAATAAAATAGAAATAATACAGATAACTTGGTTATACACACACACACACACACACACACACACACACACACACACGTATGTATGTATATTGTTGTGCAAGGATGTCATTGCTTGCACTTGACATCTGGGTTGACTCCTACATACCACACATATGCTAGTGGTTTCTGTGATTGGCTTATGTCAAGATCATCATCTTACATTATCACTAACAAGGACGATTCACAGGACATGATCAATTATCTGTAATCATATCACTGCCATCATCCTCCTCACCATGTTTAGATAAGATTACTTCCCACTGGGCTTTTTGGACATGGATACATGCTTGCGGGGGAAATCTAACTTAATTTAGGCTGTAATGTCTTTAGCTGGTCTAGAAATAGGATGCAGCATGTACATATTTGTCTCTGTGGGTCTGTTGTGGCTGACAGCTCAGTCCAGATGAGGAAAGCAGCTCCTTGGTTGCTTAGTTTGAGATGGTAAACATTTGTTGCACTAGAGAATGTGCATGGTTGTTTAGTACATGGTATACGCACAGGAAGCAGTGAATAGTATTCAAAATAACCATTACTATCCCCACTTGTCATGTTCATTTTGTATGTATTGATACAGCCTGCGTTCCCATGAAAGCAGCAAGAGGCAAGTTGTTTTAGGAAATGAATAACTCAAGAGACAGCCGATCTTGTTTCTCCATATAACTATTACATATTTCATGTGATCCGTCATAGTGTGGTCTAGATGTTTGTTTAGCTGCTGAGAGCATTTCAAAAGATGAGCCTGGTTCAGATATCATGTTTGTTTTGCCGTATGAAGATGAAAAGGCAGCTCAGAGAGGACGCATTGAGAGATTAAACATGACTTTTTGCTTTTAAAAATATATTTAGGCGCTAGATGGCAGAGGTTCTGCTGATTATTATTACTTGTATTTATAGACCTACCTCTGTTCTACAATCCAGCTTCTCTTACAAACTGCAATGATTTCTAGTAGAGATTGTACAAAATGTATTTGTTGGGAGCTGTGATTGCTACATTTAGATGTCTTCTCTGCTCTTTCTGTTCTTTTGTTTTGTTTGTTAACATCTTGGTACTGTATGTGCTTATCTATAAGACCCTAATCACTGCCTCCTTCCTCCTGCAGTGTGTGTGCGGGCGCTCGATGTGACGGTGTCCCAGAGCAGTATCCAGGTGGCCCGCGGCCAAGCAGCTGTCCTGCCCTGCTCTTTCACCACCAGCGCTGCCCTCAACAACCTCAACATCATCTGGATGGTGATACCGCTGTCCAATGCCAACCAGCCAGAGCAGGTACAGTTCACATCTCTTATGCACTCCCAGTGACAGAGCAGTCCCTTGGTTTTTTTCAGCAAAAAAAAAAAAGCAGACAGTCAGTGCTGGATTAAAGAAGTGTTACAAAACAATATCCTTGGTATTTTGACTCAGCAAAACAGTTTGATTAGAGTATTGATGTAACGCTTGTAATTATGCAGAAGTTCAGATGGTGAGTCAGTAAACAGGCAAAGCTGCTGTGCACTATTTTGAGACACACTGAGAAGACTACTACTACTTTGCTACAAGCTGTGTGCATCTAACTTATGTTCTAATGCACCATTACTGTATATGCATCATGTGGATGGCCGTACTGCTTCCCAACACCAACCTTTCAGTCAAAGCAGGTACACACGTCTTTACTCTTGATCTGTAGTAAGGTGTGCTCAGATGCAGTGCAAAGAGAATGTCAGAGGTTGCACAAATGCATAGAGAGTCAGTGGAACAATCCAGCGACAGGCGAATTGACACAGATTGAGGTAAGTGACCCAAATTAAAATGAAAACACATTTGTTCTAGTTTAAAAACTTGAGAATTGAGAAATTAGCACAATGCATCCACAGAGAGGATCTTTGGGGCTTGAGGGACCTCCAGTGCAGTAACATGACAGTAATGGCTCTTGCTCATGGTGATTATCACTAAAGAAAACCCATGCTAGCATGCTATATATTTTGGCACATGCATGCCAAATGTGCAGTGCAAAAATAAAGACTGCAAACCAATTTTGTGCAAATACAAAGACATGAAATTTCTCTTTCTGGTGCATCTGAACGCACCTTTTATTGGATATTTGTGAGTTATATAAGATATAGATATTAGATACATAGCTATAGTAATACTGTATATACATAGTAGTAAACTGAAGGTGTGTTCATAGTCTAGATAACTATCACTTTTCAATCTCTGTTGTCGCCTGCAGGCCTGCAGTGTCATGTGGCACTTCTCTAGCTTTAAAACAATACTCATTTTACTGTTCTTAATATTATTTGGGAACACAGATTTAATTTGCACACAAAACATAGCATGATTTACACTTCAGTTATGTCTTTTTGGCACTAATTTTGTCTCACTAGCTTCTCACCATCATCCCTTCCTAGCCTGCTACTCTTATTTATGTGCTGTTTTTCTCTCACCTTCCCTTCCTCTCTCCTCTCCTCTCTCTCTGTCTCTCTCTCTCTCTCTCTCTCTCTCTCTCTCTCTCTCTCTATCTCTCTCTCTCTCTCGCACTCTTCCTCCCCCCTTGTGGACTTCTGTGATTCCATTTGAGTTGTTTAACATGCAGCTGCAGGCCGTACAAGCTCACCTGCCTCCCTTCACTTTGAACTCCGGTGCTGGTCGTCCGTCCAAATAATACAATCATCTTCTGCACTAATTATCTCACGCCCACGACAGGCTCTAGATCGCAGCTGTTCTCACCACACACACACACACGCACACACACACACACACACACACGCATGCATGCAAGCGTGCACGCTCGCACACACACACACACACACACCAGGACACAAACACACATACACACAGACAAACTGGCATCAGACAGACTGCTGGTCCAAATGCAGTTCAGCTCCTGATGCATACATACAGAGCTTGTATGTGTGTATATATATATATATATATGTATATATTTACTGGCTTCACACATACATGCATGCAAAGTGCACAATGAGTTCAGAAATGCACGTCACAGAGCAATGCTCTTGTGTGCACACCTGTGGATAAAGGCTAATGCTGTTGTCTTCACACACACAAAGAAAGTAAAAACAACAGTGAACACAGTCATGTACAGTGTATGTACTTACTCATGGATAAATGCATGGGACTTTTAGACAGGCGAGTGATGATGGGAACTGATACATGAAGAAGGCTGCATCACATTTGTTGTGTTGTCATGCTATACCTTCTCACTGTATTGCATCACAAATGACATACACATAGTAAGGTCCATATAGATGTATACCTGGGAACACTGGGTACATTTGCACTGATGCACACACACAAGTCTTTAAGTGACACACAAGAAGAAACCAATATTATGTGAACTACAGCTCTGCAATCAGGTTGTGTGTGTGAAATTGGTGAGCTGTCTAAAAAGTTAGTGAGGAAATAAAGTGCTACGTGGGGCGACAGTACAAGTACAAGGTCATTTTAGAGGAAGCGAATGTCATAAATGATTACAGCTGATGCTAAAAGCCATTAAGAATTACTGAACAGAGCTCTGTACACTTCCACACTCTCACAACCTGTGTTAGCACTTTAGTTAGCGCACTCGGACCAGTCAGATCTCTCTCTGCTCACATTTGAATACCAAGTTTAGATGGGACTGTGATAAATGACACTACTTATTTAGTAATGTCAGAAGATGAATCCTCTTGTATTTTCTGCTTGATCCTTTCCACACAATATAGACTATAGAACTGAGTCAAGTGTTAGCTTCATATATTTTGTTTATGGGTGGAAGTGCACTACCGTTGTCCATCTGGAGTCTGTTTAAGTAATTAATACAAAAGGAGGAGCACACCAGCACACAGTACCAATAATAACAATAACAAACATGCAGTTAAGGTTCTGGAACAGTCACAGTTTGGTTAGGTTTAGGCACAAAAACTTCTTGGATAGGTTTAGTATTGTCACGGTTACAATAATAAACACGAAGTTAAAGTTGCAGAATGTTGAACATTGATAAAAGGAACAACACAGACCGGTTCAGTTCGGTATCAGTTTCAAACAAACAGCGGCCTCCCATGTGAAAGTCCATCCATCCATAAACTCCTTCTAAGGTGGACTTTATTACTCTTTATCACCTGAATTACTCCTTTGCTCTCGTCATGATTTCAACAGCCACTAACCATGAAACGTTATATAGATCATAATAAGCTGCTTGCATAGATGACCTCTGAGGTCATTTTTTACAAGACAGGCCCTCAACTTTGCTGTTTTGGTCCAATCTACAGTAGGCAGATATTCTCCGTGAAAAAGCTCTACAAACCAACTGTACACTACCTGCTGAGAACCAAAGCACCAGACAGACAAACTTAGCAACTAGCTTGTGAATCCAATGGATCATTTGGCAGCTAAACAGCCTCAGGAGTCAGTGGAAACAACACCAGACCCAGAGGAGAGTGAATATTGAACTTACATTACTCAGCTGGTCAAACACACAGCTCCAGTTCAATGCTAATGTTGCTTTGCTGGACATATAAGTAGGCAAATGTTTCCTAACATGTTCACTATACCAAGTTAAAAGGTGATGATACTGTGTGTTGTATTTACACCTTGTTTCTGCTGCTCACAAGTGTCAAAAAATCTCTTAGTGGAGGTTTAATGGGGGAACACAGTGATAGTTTGAGAATAAAACAATCCTCTTTCTATTTCCCAAAATGTCAAACTTTTCCTTTAAGCGCTGATGAGCTTGATATACTAGAGCTTTCAGGAAAATTCCAGTGTAATTATGACTTAAATGTTGACATGTATGCTATTACCAAGTCTAAAACTTGTAATAATATGCCATAAATCCCTGTTACAGCTCCTTCTGCTGTAGTAACCAAAAAAAAGAGCAATTAAGGGACAAACTTTACCAATCAGCTATGTATATTATAAATTCCACAGTTTTTTACATAGTGTCCACTGTTGAAACTCACATGTATTAGATTCATATAAAATGTATTCATTAACATTGTAAACACTCAACCTTGAACCTCGGTTCAACATGCAGGCATGTAGCTCACAGGAGTGTATCTGTGTGTGTGTTTGGGTGTGTGTGCAAGTTCACGTGCTGTTTTCTGTGTATGTAATCTGTGATCAAATGTCCTGACCTCTTTCCTCTGGGCTGCTAGGTGTGAGATAATCCAGATAAACACACACACACATGCACACACACACACACACACACTAGACAATGGTTTTATGTTTCCGAGCTGTTGTTTATCCTCTTTAAACTGTTTGCTGGATATTGGTGTTATTTATGCTCTAATAAAAGCTCCAGGTTCACTCTTCTCTCACACCACCTGTGAAACTAATTCTGAAAACTGATTTTTTAGTTGCAATCATTAAAAAAGTTGATATATCAAAAAATAATATGTAGTTCTTTGGAGCGTTCTCTTCACTCATGCGCCTGCTAATTTAATATTGTCAATGCCTGAAACCCTTTACAATCCAATTTTGCTACGTATTCTCTCCTTCTCTAGTTGATGAGAGAAAGTTGTTGAAAAAGTTTTGTCACTTCAGAACTGATGAAAACCTTTTGCAATGTCATTTCTAAATTATTTTCAGTGTGAAAAATAAATGTAATATGTTTTCATCAGTTCCTGGAGAGGGAAGTGTTGATTTTTTTTAAAACCTAAAATAGTAAAAACTGCACAGTTTGAGTGAAATGAGGCTCTAGTGAAATTGAGGTCATAGAGAATCTGTGGTGCAGAAATGATGTTAATCTGTAATTGAGAACATCTGTCATAGTATTTTAGATGATCAGATTCCGATCCTTATCTGAACCAAACAATCTGTCAGAGGATGGATAAAATAGACATTGTATTCATATACCCTCAAAATGTGACCTCTTTTTTCCCTGTTCGACACTGTCTAAACAATTTTTCCCGGACACATCAAAGGAAATTAACAAGGACTAATTTCAGACAAACTCAAAAATAACATGTTTGTCTGTGGCTGGGAAACCACCCTGTGGAAAAACCGAGGAGGGGTTAAACTACAATTCACAAATCAATTTCAACGCAATAATGTGATACTTTTCATTGATTAGCAGAGAAGAATTCTTTTCTTGTTTCAGAAGTGCATTGCCATTTTTTACTAGTAGGAGGTCTAAGTGTCTTTCTTAATCACTCGCACTCTGAGTTACATTGCACACTTCAAACTCCCAAGATCTAATGTGGCTAATCTCAATTACAGTGAAGTTGTTCTTTGATACCAAGATGTATGTACTCTAAGCATACAGTAAGTGAGTTGATCAGAAAGTGTACTGAGGGAGGTCATGCCATGAAAAATAAATGTATAAACCTGTTCGTCCTGCACAGTGATCTATGTATGACCTTTTTTATGATGAGCTGTTGCTTTTCAATAAATTCAGTGTAATAAAACTCATTGTGTGCTTACACAAGGATGTCCAAATTCACATTTTGCTTATTTTCAGTGTCTTTCCATGGTCTCTTAGATGTGACAGCATAACAACATTTTTCAGCAACTGACTTTAAATTTTCAGACACTTCCCCCCTAACCACTACTGCACCTACCCCTGCCTTACACATTGGACTTAGAACAACATAAACACATATTTCATTGGTATTGGATTTATTACAGTATCATTTGATCAGTTTATACCCATCATTATTTTGTATTTCTACAATCTGTTCCAACTTTCTCTTTATATTCTGAAAAAGGCTTTTTTCCCGCCTATGGCTCCTATTTCACCTCCAGCTGCCTGAGGAAATGGAATTTCTCTTTGAATTCATCTCCTGAGGGCTCTTCCATTTTTTCCTCTTTATGTATTAAAACAAAATGTATAAAGTACAGTACACATTATGTCCATTATGCTCAGAACATGTCTCAGAGGATAGATGGAGATAACAGTGGCGGCTTACAGTCAGTAAATTGTTGGGAGGCTGGAGGGTTTTAGAGATTTATTCAGGCTTTATTGAGGCGATGGCAGTGTCCCTCATGTCTGTGGCCAACAGAAGTAGGCTACGGTCATGAGACTGGTACAGTGAATGAAAATATCTTAAGGTTTGCTGTGTGTATCCAATCATGGTTCACACTCACGGGGTGGATCATCAAGTGAGAGAAGACTCGGGATACACTACAATGAGAGAGGATGCTTGTACGGTATGTGTGTGTGTAGGATTTTAGTAGGGAGAAGATACAGCAGAGTTTTACCGCTGGGTGAGCAGTGGGGCATCCAGCTAGCCCAGCTAGAGTTCTTAAGGCTAGCCGCCATCTGAGTGCCAGCCATGACCTCTTTTCTCCCTGCGTACAACTACAAAGCCAACCAGGTCATGCGGGAGGATGAGGTGATTTACGCACACACATAAATGTGGCTCAGCACAGTGGACAGAGACACAGTTTGAAAAAATAGTTAGAATGTGGCACAAATAAAGCTGGAAACAAGAGTTCACAATACTCTACTTTTTTAATTGTCAGGAGTTTAAAACCCTCAGGGGAAAAAAACAAATAAACAAAAAAAGCAGGGACAGGTGTAAGATACTGCACAGGTTAGGGCCTCCTTTAATCCTCCGCTCATTCATGCACACACACAAGCACACAAACAGAATGTGGAGGCCGATTGATTGGATCACTTTCACCGAGCATGCAGATTATACTGTCAGGTCATCAGGAGTGTAGAGTCAGGTCATAGCAGTGCTGTCTCTTAGGGAGGGAAACAGAGTGGTAGAGAGAGACAGACACACGGACAGATAACTGGAAGACGATTTGACAGGAAAAGCAGACAGACAAAATGTAAGTGAGACCAGACACTTATTACACTGAGAAACATTTACTATGGCAGGACAATTGCACACAATCACATGCACAGTATTCAAAAATGATGCATTCCCCATGAGTAAATGAATATACACTGAGACACTATAACAGAGACACACACACACACACACACACACACACACACACACACACACACACACACACACACTCACACACACAGGAGATGCAGTTGCAGACTCTCATCACAGCTGAGGAGCTGCCTATTCATCTGCACATAAGAGGACAAAGCGAGCGGACCGCATTCAGGAAATTGCAGCCGTGCAATTTACAACAGTTAAGCAGTGGTGGAGGACACAGTCATATACACACTCTTGCACTTTCATCAGAACTGTCACTCTCACACATTCACACACACATACACACACACAAACACACACACACACATATAAACGCGCGCACACACACACACACACACACACACACACACTGGTGCTGGTTGTTTCCCTGCCTGGGTCTTTGAACAGTTCAATGAGGGCTCTTTTCACCAAAGTGAATAGCCCCTCTGATTCGCCTCCATGCTTTGTGTGTGTGTGTGTGCGTGCGTGTGAGTCGGTGCACACACGTGTGTGAGAGAGCCAGACTGTGTGCGCATACCATGCGTTTGTGTGTGTGTCCTCTTCATCTTTTGTGTGGGCCCAGCTGAGGGGTGAGAGCTGTTTTGCATGTGGCTCGGCCTTACAAACGAGCTGTTCAGCCCAAGTTTGAAGCTTGAGGGAAGCTTTTCAACAAGCTGATCCTTCATTGCTCTTTAATTTGGACCTGAGACAAGCTTACCTCAACCTGGGGACACAAATTCATCTGTACAAGTGTCTTCTCACTGTGATTATTTCTGGCTGGATTGGATTCCTTGTGCAGACCACTGTCTGCAATGCTTCTCCTGGATTCATCAGATTTCAGTTTATATATTTCCAAGATAAAATGTTTTCAATTATGCATACCATTTACTGGAGGCTTTTATCTGAAGAGCCTTATAGGACCATGAAAGCATACTTTTAGTATGTACTCCTTACGCTAGAATTTACCCACTGAGCCAGAAAAGACCACTTACAAATAAAAGGTTTTTTGGTTTGTCTGTCTGTTTGTTTGTATTTTTATGTTCAGACCTTTTACTTACCCAGTCCACTGTCAAAATATGTTCTAGCCTCATAGTAGAACTAGGTCTCCCTCTAGTGAGTGATATTTGTAACAGGCCACTAAAGGAAATGTCCAAGAATCATATTCATGTACAGATCCAATAACAAGAGGCACTGGGTTCTTATGACTATCATAATATAATAGAATAAGTATTTATTTCTCCTTTCTTTTCCCTGACATCACCAATGTTTTGTCATCCTCCCCTTCCCATTTACTTATCTATTTCACCAATCTATTTCTTTCTATCTTTCTCTCCATCCTATGTCCTAATCCAGGTGATCATTTACCAGGGCGGCCAGGTGTTCAGCCTCGCCAACCACCTCAATGGTCGTGTGGGCTTCGTGGCCACCATGCCAAGTACAAGTGCCTCCATCTTCATCAACAACACCCAGCTGTCCGACACTGGGACCTACCAGTGCCTGGTCAACAACCTCCCAGACAGAGGGGGGCGCAACATCGGCGTCATCGGACTCACTGTGTTGGGTAACTCACCTCACACCTCCACAGATAATTAATTTTAAACACAGTCATCAATGTGACAAATTGTAGGAGGCTGAATGTTTATTTTTCAGCTTGAAAGTAACCAGAAGAATCTTTTAAAGACAGAAATTTAAGCAGCATGCAAGCACGGTTGGAAATATGAGGCTCTCAGCTTTCAGCTTTTTTTAATATATAATTTCCTCTGCAATTAGGAAAACATTACATTTGCTTTGTAAAGTGGTTAACATGACACCGCCCACTCTCTTCATCTGCCAGTACCCCCCTCGGTGCCAGCGTGTCGAATCCAGGGCACTCTGGATGTCGGCAGTGACATCATGCTGTTCTGCAGCTCAGAGGAAGGTATTCCCACACCGTCCTACTCCTGGGAGAAACTGGACGCACTGCCCAAGCTGCCGCATAACGCCATGCAAGGTATTACAAACAAGCTGGCCGTCGGAGTTCCCTTTTGCCCCACCTTCGCTGGTAAATCTCACACATTTAGCGCAGCTCAGACTCAGCAACAATCCCACCATCACTGCCACCTGTCATGTGCCAGGCCCGAACAACTGTCCGCCCGAAGGTTCCTCCCCTCTGATCCTGCTGAGGGGTGATGATAGATGGATGGAGTGATTGAAACCATGTGAATTTGTGAACGAGTGTGTGTCTGTGTGTCAGGAGTGTGTTTGTGTTTGAGCAAAGTGTTGGTTTTGTGCAGTCTCTCATGCTGAATACTAACTCTGACACAGTTGTGTCAAATAGACACAACTGTAGCCACACAGCTTCTACTTTAGTGACCTAACATCCATCCAGGATTATTAGAGTTGCAGTTGGTTTTCAGCATCAGAGATCAAGTGTAGTGGACTCTCCTTTTTTTATTTTCCAGCTGTGTTCATTGAAATAATCTCCATCGCTGTCACTTGATTTGTTTGTACACTACTGGTCAATAGCAGGCTAATATGCAAAGAGATCACATCAACTGCAGATAGCAGCATCCCACAACAATAAAATTCATGTTTTTACAGCTACAGAGACAAATATTGTAGACAGTGGAAGAGGATTGTACATTCGAAGAAACTGAATCGTAACTGCAAATACAGTCACAGGGGTTGTTGGATGCAGGTCTTTATCAGCATTTGTGAGGTACTAGTTAACATGTCTGGTAATCAGCTCTTCAACATGTTAACATCTCACAGAGCTTCAAAGAGGCAAATTGTAGCTCACCACAATTGCAGTTGAAATAGTTAAAAAAAAAAAAAACAAAAGTCACAAAATGAAAAAGGTTTGTTAGATGACATAGCATTTAGATGAAAAACATGTAACGTATAACATGAATCACCTCTGCAGTTACTTACTTTCTAGTTAAATTACATTAATGATTACATTATTTGTAGTGTGCGTAGTGCTGTATTGGGGTTTGTTTGCTGCTGTTTGCATTTGATTCAAATTGAAATCACTTCCTGGATTTGTCAGTGTCACTCTTTATCACTTTGTTTGTTTACTTTGACACATACAGCCGTGTCATGTCACTGTCAAGGTGAAAATCTGGCTCACTTCTTGTTACTCAGATATTCAGGAAATGCTGAAGCCTTTACAAGTCCGGTAGTGTACATCCCAGTGACTCTAAGCTCACAACTCAACCCTTTCATCATTTATGAAAGACAGGAAACTGCAGCTTCACTCTTTGTAACTGCACAGTATACTGTACCTCACTTGTACACCTTGTATTAAAGGCAAATAGCACCCTCTATTGGTAGATTGTAGTTCAGTTGAATGTATTGCAATACTTTAAACATTAGTATAAAAAATAAAACAAAATTGTCAATTACTTTTTCAGTTTAACATATTTCAAATCATGTTATATTTTGCACTGTTTTTGAAAGGATTTCTGATATGCATGGGGTCATACAGTATGTTTTTGTGCCTTGACACTATGCTCTGTGTGTACATTGTTTCTGTTTTTGTCACTTTAAATGTGGCTCTGTGTGTTTCTCTTCCAGACCAGATGCAGGGCACTGTCACACTGAGAAACATCAGCACCAGCACATCTGGACTCTACCAGTGTACCTCCAGCAACGCTATTGGCAAGAGCACCTGTCTGCTCAACCTGCAGGTTGTAGCACGTAAGTATGCTCAAACACACTGCTCCTTCATTGCTGCATCCATGTGACACCTTTATTGTCATATACAGGCAGGCTGACACATGGCAGACACATGGCTGAGTCTATGCACATTTATAGATGGAAAAGCTGCCTTCTCATCTCACTCAAACACTTGTCAAACAGACAGATACACAGAAAAAACAAGCAAACAAACAAAGGACAAGACCAGAACATCTTGCAGACAGTAGGACTGCCCACATCTGCCACCAGTCAGAGAAAAAGACAGAGAGTCGGTTCGGGTCATACAGGGTCAGACAGTTTGGATAGCTTGACAGGAGGGACTGTAACATGCCTCTTTTTTTTTTTCATCTGACAATATGTGACAGGCAGACGCTCAGTGTCAGAAGTGTACTGGCTGTGTGCTGAGTAAAATCAAGTCAAGTCAAGTCTTATTTATACAGCTAAATATCACAAATTTGCCTCAAAGGGCTTGACAATCTGTACAAAATTACAACACCCACTGTCCTTAGACCCTCAAATCAAACAAGGAAAAAAACGTTTTACAAGAAGAAATGGAAGAAACCTCAGAAAGAGCAACAGAAGATGTTTGCCCTTCCAGGATGGACAGACAAGCAAAATACGTTGTGTTTACAAAAAAAGAGTGTGTACACATGACAGACACAAACATGACTCTGTCTGTCAGAGACCACAGTGGGTCTCAAACAGTTGAAAGCAGGAAATGCTAAAATGGCGCAGTAGTAAGATGTAAATGTTTTACTCAAAACTATTCTGTTCCATTCCTGTTTCTATTTTACTTGAGTATAACTGGAAAAGGACAGATGTGAGTGCATTTTGTGGCGAGCACTACTCAGTTTCCATTCTTGCCCTGCTACATATTTATTTTTGGACTTGGAGACATTCTGCTACTATTGTCCAACAAAGAAACTATAAGCAGCAACACTTTTTAAACAGCTCCTTTTATTCAGGTAACACTTGCCATGAAGTTCTGAAATTGCATTTTAAGATATATTACCATATTACCTGTGAAGGCCTTAAATAGCTTGATCCAAAATCCAAATGGCTTGAAAGTGTGCACATGATCCTGAAAACAAGTCAATCCCCAGCCCATCCTGGATAACTTAGACTGAACTTACTGTCCATTACTTGGCTTGTCTTGTGACACTTTCCCCTCCTGTCTCTGTGTCTTGCAGCCCAGCCTCAGAGTGTAGGTCTGATAGCAGGGACCATCGCTACAGGAGTCCTGGCTGTTGTCATCTGTTCCCTTTTAGTAGTGGTCACACTCTTCTACTGGAAGAACAAGAATAAATACGATGAGGAGGAGATCCCCAATGAGATCAGGTTGGTCACAGGCCATTTGCAACCAAAAGCTACCGTAGTTTCTACTGTGTCAGAGTGGAGACTGCATTTGTGGTCTATCATCTCAATTTTAAAAGGTGATAAGATGTAGCAGCAGCTTTGTGTTTCCTATTGTAGAATAATAAGTCTGTCAGTGTTCAGCTTAATTTTATCTCCTGGCAGCAATTTTCTTCCATCATCAATAATTTCTCTGTTCAAACAGTCTGTGAAGCTTTTTCAGTTGTTTAAATGGGCTGCAATTTCTTCCCTAAATCACTCCATGAAACGTTTGGAAGATAACTCATTGTTCAGATATCAAAGGCTTTGGTTGATGGGATAAGAGCTGCTTCATTTTGGGCTCAACTATGATCCCACATTTACTGCTTCCACCCACATGGCTCTGCCTTTCCTCACAATGGAATAGCCTATATATTATCTGAGTCAAATACATCAGGAGCAGAACTCTTCGACCCAAAATTACTCCTCATAAAAACAACAGGTGAATTCAAAGTTGTTTTTATTTACAAAATTGTTGACACTTTTTTAAATAATGAATAGCCCTGTAACAAATCCCACCTTTTAAAGCTTATGATGTTCTTTGTTTTGCTTCCTGTTTCAGACCATGTAAGATCACCAGTTTTTGGCACCTTTGTTGCTATGGCATTATTTGCACAGGTGTTTCAGGTGTTGTGACCACCTGCTGTAGTTGAGTCCTGAAAGATCAAAAATGAATATATAATTACTTTTTAGATTCTGTCTGTGTGTTGCAACTTGACTACATAGAAGAGCTCTTTTCATTTTTAATGATTCAAAGGTGCTAAATATTAGAGGATGAACTAATTGCCAATCTTATTGCTATGACTTTTTATTTTACTGATATCAACTCCAGTCAGTGATAAAGCATCAAGGATTCAGGAATGTATGTATAACTAGCATTTTTTTTACTTTGTTTGAATTTTGAACAATTACCAACCTTTAGTGTTATTACAGAAGCTGAACTTCCATTAAATTTATGTGTCCTATAAAACGAAACAGAAGAGGAGCTGAATCTGTGAATCTAATAAAACACTGAACTTAAACTTTGTTATATCAGTTGCTTATTTTTCTTGTTCTTCGCGTGTCATAAGAATATAAATGTATATAAAGTGGTGCTATTTACTCTGACATCTGAATAAACTTCTTTTACAATATACTGTACATCACTGGTCCAGGGTTAATGTAAATATATTGATAAGAGCAGATTTATTTTAAGATAATAAACGGGACTTTGAAGCTGCATTTAAAGGTGCAGATGTTTGTCCAACCATAGTGAGTGACCTCTCTTTGAAATCTCTCCTCAACAGAGAAGATGACCTTCCTCCTAAGAGGTCATCATCAGTGAAGGCTTTCCATGCAGACGCCTCATCATCGGAGAACGACACGTTGACGTCTACCAACACGTACAATAGCCGCTACTGGCACAACCCCAAACCCAACTATGACACCAACTCCTACACTCGCTACAATGGAGACACACGCCAGACCTTCTCCACTGCTGCCCATGGCACACATGGACAGGCCCAGAATGCAGGACACAGCCATAGTACAGTGGTCACAGCGCCTGGCTCAGCACCGCTGTCCCGCCATGCGCCGCCCACAACGGCAACAACAACATCGTTTGCCAATGGCAGCCACACACTCCCGCCACCAAAGACTCTGGTGGTCACCACGAACTCTGCCCCGTCCCCTCCCACCATGGTGCGCAGCAACGGCACTGTGAGCCTCAAACCAGTGGTGACATCAACACATGGGCAACACACACACTCCTACGCCGTGAGCCAGGCCACGCTGGAGCGGATGGGGGCAGTACCTGTCATGGTGCCCGCCCAGAGCAGAGCAGGCTCGCTGGTCTGAAATCTGATTGGGTAAACTGTTAGCTTTGAAAACGAGATTAAATGAGTGTTTGGTTGTGAAGTTTGAAATCCACTGATGAAAAACAGACAGGATATGGGCTGAAGCAGCCCACTGCCCTTTTCAGCTGTGTCTTTCTTTCTGTATGTCTCGACCTTTTTATCTCAAAACAAACTGGGATTTTACAGTGCAGAGTTCATTTAATGCCAATTCCTTGATGGACAAGATCCTCCATTTTGTAGACAAGCACTACACGGAACTTATTTGTCCCCTTATTGGATGGATTGTCCTGGCGGGTGCTGGTGGGAACTACTTTTCAACCACTTTACAACACTGGAGGGAATATTCCAGCACAACCTGGATTCCCAGATCTCATTCAGGGCCGGATAGTTGTGATGATTGTGTTTTATTTGACTCAAAGCAACACAAGGCATTTTCATCTCAGTGTGTCCATACTGCATGGTCAGAGAGAAGTGAGCTCGGATTCCCACATAAATGCATGTGTCCCTTGTTTTAGGATGACAAATTAAGTCCATATTATTTCTAATAATTTCTTCTCGCATTTGTAAGTTTGATTAAAAGTAATGCTAGTGATGATGAGGCTTGCGCATTGAAAAAGTGAATGTTGTGTTGAGAGAAACTTAAAGGATGAAAGTATAAAAATGAAATAATGGTGGTTAAAATGGCCTTAGAAGCTTAGAAAGACACGTTTTACTGGGTGCAATACATCGCTGACTATACTTTACTTCACTGAATGCAAATATTTTCGTTTTGTTGCACTTTTCAGAGCATATATCAAAATTGATGTCTTATGAATAATAACTCAGTCTTACTAATGAAATGCTTACCCATACAACATAGATCAAAACTTCTCTGCACATGCAAAATACCGGTGATATTTGAAGATAGTGCATGTGCTGTATTTTCAGCCGCACAAAACTTTTCACAAGAAGCTACTGAGCTACTGCAGATGGATATTGTTGTAGTCTTTGCTGTGTTCACCCTTGCTGTTGTACTAATCTGGTTCATGTCACATCAGTGCTGCTTTGAGAGGACGGGGATAAGGGGATGTCTTATTTCATAAATGCTTTATAAAGAGACAAATATATATTTAAAAAAAAAATTTTTCCTTTGACAAAGGCTAACATCTACTGTTTTCTACTGTACATACTGTAACTACAACATTAGGCTAGTTTGTGGATCAAAGAAAATACATGTCTGACTGATACATATTTTACAACTCACGTGTCTTAATTTTAAAATGGTTCTTTTTCTTACATTAGACAACAAGCTGGATTTGATAGACAGTGTTATTGGTTTCAATCAAGTGATTTTTTTAATGATTTCATTTTCTAATGAGTATTGCCATTTCATTACCAGGTCTGAGGTAAGGACAGTATGGTTTAACACTAATGACCATATGTTTAACTCTAAATAACAGACACCTAAGCTGTACATGGTAGAAAGTATCACTGTGTTTCTGACCTACTGTTTTTTGTATTTTAACCAAATTTCACCGGTGGAGAACAGTCTGAACTGTCTTATTATTTGTATTTTACATGCAGTATTGGAACAAGTGTTCAAAAGTAATTTCTCTCTATGTTTAATTTATGTTTTTTATTTATTTTTTTTTAATTGGCATTTAAAATCTAATGTAGAAACAAAAAAGTGCTCCAACTTTAACAAATAGAATTTCATGACTTATGGTGAAAACTATTTTTCATTACTATTATTTGATCCAGATGACTTCACTGACCTAGGGACTGTTAGATGCACTCAAAACACAGAGTACTATTAAAGTTAATCGAATTTGAAAATTAAAAAGAAGATTCAGCAGTGAGAGTAGTATTAACTTAAAATTCTAGATGGAGGAAAAATTAATAAACCCAACAAATGTTTGGATCATAGGTATAATAAATTCCAGCCAAGATAATGTACTTTTGTATTGTTGATGTCATCCTTTAATTAACACATACATGGACTGAGTCCTGAATATAGACCTGAGGAGTACAAGTCAACACTGGTTTTCCATCACAGTTTGTTGTCAGATGTGTAGACCTGCAGTTTACACAGACCTGGATAATTCTGAACTTTTCCTGATTTTTCCCTGGAAGTCATAATGGGAATTTTATTTATTCACTAGTTACTGCATTACGCGCCAGTTTAGATCCACCACAAACATGCATCTTTATCAGCATAGAGTTGACCTAGGTCAGCTACACACCCTCCCATTGCTTTTACACACATATTCATCCTGTTTTTCTTCAAGGCTACTGGCTACTGTGTGGCAGAGCTACAGTCCACCTGCAAGACATACATATACACACACACTGATTTATAAATACAGAGGTTGAAAGAGGTCAGAAATTCAATTATCAATCATTATCTCCCTGACTTTTTTGGCTGACAGAGTTTTCAGAATAAAGTCCTCTGTCTGTGTAGATTCCTGTCACCATTTCTCCAAGTGCCCCTGCCCTGAACACTGGCTGACAACATTAAAGAACTTTTCTTCTAAGATTTCTGGCTTTATTCTTTCCAGAGAGAATGGCAAGCTGGAAAAGCTAAACTGAGATTATTTTACACTAACTCTATCCCCCACTTGCAATGGAGGAAGGAGAGCACAATCAGTAGAAATCTACTGAGGTTTTAACCCAGATTAAATAAACATCTCGTCTTCTACCCTGGCCATAGGTTGGCATATGGTACACAAGGTGGTATATGGGTTGTACATATATAGATAAATAATTACCTGTGGTATATTGCCAATAATAAAAAACAATCTGTAAATATGTATAAAAATACATCTTGTTCTTACTGTTGGATTTAAATGAAATAGGAACAATAACACTGGAACTTGTAGTGAATAAATATTGTTAATACATTCTAGTCGGCATCCTGCTCATTTATTTGTGTGTGTGTGTGTGTGTGTGTGTGTGTGTGTGTGTGTGTGTGTGTGTGTGTGTGTGTGCGTGTGTGTGTGTGTATGAGTGAGTAGCATGACACAAACTGCCGAAATGCTTCCTGTATTCAAGGTGAATCTATCAACATTGTTTTTAAAGAAAAAAAAACAATAACAGTGACATAAGCCTTCAAGCAGATCATCATTATTTAGAAACATTTTCCTGTATTGGAGCTATATTTAAAACATACAGACTCTGTTTCATGTAGGTATTTGTGTTCAGAAGGAGCTGCTGGGTCCCGTGGTGGCAGAAAACTGTGTGATGTGAATAACACATTTCAGGACTCGGCAAAGCTTTCTATGAAACTCACTCATTGAGCCTTTGGTGTTGCTGCAGGCTGTTAAGACAGCCATGAAGAACAGAAGCTTCACAGAATAACAATATGAAAAATATGCAAGTGTGCTAGTTTCTTCATGCACTCGTGGTTTCTATTCCCAAGATAAATTGTGTAATACTTCACGAACGAAATACCCTCGAATGAAGATACTGGTATGGCCACGATACATGAACAGATGCATTTTTCTCAGTTTAAGATACAAATTAAGCAACTATATTTATCATGTGCCTTCAATGCAATAGCATTGAGTAAATACAGCAGCAGACATATTGAATTTACTTTGAGCTACAGAAACTTTTCAATTATCATATTAGCTCTCCCATAGACTGCAATACAAATTCAGAAGCTGAATTGCTGTTAAATGTTTTTTTTAACATGTTATATAGTTTTTAATGTCTGCTTTAAACACCTGGTGTGTGTGGTTATCCTGACTTTCACAGTGTAGAGTTCAGAACAAATGTGAAATTGTTCACCTCATTACTGTCATGGTTTGCCATGGCAGACACTTTTTGTTAGTTTTGTTTGGACTTTTTCTCACTTCCTATTTTATTTTGTAATTGGTTTCCTTGTGTGTCTCGGTGTTTTTGCTTCCTGTCTTGGTCCTGTTTCTGTGTGGTGATTGTCTGCCCTGCCTTAATGTGTTTCACTTGTGTTCAATCACCCTTGCCTCCCTTATGTCTATATAGTCTTTGTGCTCCCCTTTGTCTGTGTCGGTTCATCTGTTGCTTTCTGGGTTTGTCCTCGTCGGTTCACGTGCCTTTTCATGTCTGGTTGGTCGCAGAGCTGTTCATGTGTGGTTGTCCTCAGTCTATTCATGTCTGCTTTGTCCTCGGTCTGTTCATGTTGTCTGTTCCTGTCTAATGTTTTAAGTTCCTGTGTTTCCCTGTTCTTCCCCTGTGTTTCCCTGTGCTTCACCAGTGTTGTGTGTAAGCTTCTTGTTTTGTTAAATAAACCTTTTGCACCGTCCCCCAAGTGTTGGCTGCATTTTGGGTCCAGCCTTACCCCTCATACCCTGACAGTATGAACCGACCAAAGAAATGGAGCCAGCGGCCTACGCCAGCCTCATGTCTTTCTTGAGGGTGCCTCAATCCTCTCAGTCAGCACCCTTGTCGGTATATTCACTGCAGTTATTCATGTTCACCACTGGTTGAAGACATTGTTTACAGCATTAAAGGGTGTTGAATAAAATTTGGTGATGATTGTGTTTGAATTATGCTTTTTGTGTTAATGTAAGAGCAGTTAAACCAGATCAGTCAAATTTGACCGGGAACACCAAAGTAAGGGGGGGAGAAACGAGCATAATACAAGGGTTAAGCTTATTATGAAGTCCATAGCATTACGTGTGTATGTGTGACTGCTCACTTGGAGGGTCTATTGTGTATTTTGATGGATTTATACATAGCCATTATCATTTATCTAGCTCAGCATTTCCTGTACTGCAGAGGAGTTAGGTTGAAGCATTTGGAATGGAATACTGAGAAACTAAAGTTCTTAAATGCATCACTGGGGGGCAGTGTTTATACAGTCAAGTAGTCTGACACTGCTGAAAGATGTTCTTTAATTCAGGCTCACGTCCCATCATAAGAGTTCCAGACAGTAAATTCTGGGCCATTGATTATAAAAGGCAAATGGACTTATTTAAAGTGAGTGAAATAGAAGGGAAATGACTGCTGGCAGAACACTTGTCTTAATGCAATCTTAATTGATGCATTTTAATGACACTAATCCTCATGGTTTCATTTCTAATGTGAATTTCCTCCAGTAGGGCCTATGCCTCTTTTCTTCCCCTCCAACCCATTTCAGCTTTAAGAATCAATAGGAGTGACCTTTGGAAAGAAAGCAGTGAAAAGATCAATGAGTCAGAGCTCCTGAGGATTGTGCTCATTTTTGAGACCCTCGGCCTGGTGTATGTGTGTATGTGTGCGCGTGTGTGTGTGTGTGTGTGTGTGCTCACACTCCCCAGTAAACATAGAGATTAATTATCTTCTGATCAGATCTAAATTCTGATTAATCAAATGACTCATATTCCCCAGCATCTCCATTTTTTTCTTCCTTGCACCACAGCTGTTTCACTCATTTCACATCATGGTCATCCATTTCTCCTGAGCACTTAAATTGTGCTACATGCAAATTAGAGTTAACTCTCTCTTTTTTTCTTAATAACTTTTTTGCTGGTGTTGTCATTATCTTCCCCTGACTGTTATTTGTTCCTGTTTTATTTTGAAATTGGTTACGTTGTGTATCTGTTAGCTGCTTTGCTTCCTACCTTTGTCTGTTTCCCGCCTGTTTGATGGCTGCCCCGCCCCATTTAATTTCACCTGTTCTCTATTAACTTTGCCTTAGTTGTGTATTTAGTTTCTGTGTTCCCTGCACACGTTTTCGGTTTGTTTGTTTTGTTCCTGTGTTTGTTCCACAGTGTTTTTCATCAGTGGAACTTGGAGTTACTGTTTCTCTTCCTGCCTGCTTTGTGTTCGAGTTCCAAATGTTTCTGTCTGCCTGTAAGTTTTAGACATTTTGTCACTATGCATGTTCGCTGCACTTAACTGCCTTTGTGTGTGTCTGCGGTTGCGTCTCCCTGCCTGTGCTGTGACAGTTGTAGGTTCTGCATAGGTGTGGGTTTGCATACAACACGTTTACACTATGTTTGGTGTGAAGTCATTAAAATAATTCTACTTTACCCTCCCAAAGTCTGCTTTTCCGAGATGACCGATTTAGGTATGCTAGCATTTGATTGGCTGAATGGCTGGGGGAGGCTGATGTTAATGTACATATTACACTTGCTGGCAGTCACGGAGGAGTCTAGAGCGGGTCAGTGTGCCTCTGACAATGGTAAGTTATCAGTGCTGTCAATCCATACGTCAAGCATATTGCCTGAACTGCACAGCATGCGTAGCTTAATTTTGTCCAGGAGCCTTTTCACCACCAGGAGCATAAGTCATAGCTAACCAGCCAGCAGCTACATTGATTTAAAATATAAACCTGCTTGCAACTTAATGGCACCAGTCTTACATTATTGGATTAATACCAATTGAGCAATGGATTAGGAGCATAGATCTTAATAATGATTTATTAATACTTGATAAACCAAAAGTCCTCTTTGTCCTCCTCCGTTTTGACGGGGTGGCAGGGTTGTTATCTCTACTAATGTTGAGACCAAATTTACATTTTTTTTTCTTTTCTTTTTTTTGCAGCCTTTTTGGCTACTTCAGCTCCAATAAATATCTTTACAAATGCCTATGCCAGTTTAGGCCATGGCTGACTGCAGTAGGAAGCTGACTTTGACTTTACTGACCTGCCAGGCTGCTTCTGTGTGCTTAATGGTGACCACAAAACTTCTGTGAACCCGGAGCATATATCATTTACAGCAGGGGTATTCAATTAAAATTCAAAGAGGTCCAGTTACAAAAATGTCCTCCCAGCAAAGGTCCGAATCTTATATTGTCACTCGAAATAGTGCACCCTGATGTAAATAAAAAACAACATACGTACTTTTCTATATCATTTATTGTCAAATTTCAAGTGTTTTCAATATACTTTAAACATACCGATAAGTCTGAAGTTGTATGGCACTTGAATGGAAAACATTACTGTAGTTGTCTTTACTACATTTCAAGTAACTGAATTTCTTCTGAATAAAATAAATAAAAAGTGCAAACACAGCTTTGAGCAGCCTGAACTTAGGGTAATGTAAAAACATTCAGAATCTTTTGAATAAAATAAAAGTGCATCTTTAAGAAAAAATGTAAACAAAAGACCTTTGAGCTGCCCACCCCCTTTTTTAAACATGTATTAACTACATTTAAAATAAAATAACACAGGAACCTTAATGCCTACATTTCAAGTAAAATAGAACAGGGCAGAATTTACTGAATAAAAGAAAAGTGCAGAGCTTTGAGCAGCTCCCTTTCTCCTCTCTCCTCTCCTTCCTCCTTTTCCAACTTCCTTTCCTAGTGAGAGAAATGGGCATGTAACTTTCCTGCCAACAGTTTGAATCTTGGTTTAAATGGGGTTAGTGCCATTCTTATGCTCATGTGGAGATGCTCATAGGTAAGCCTGGAACAGTACTTTGTTTTAATAATGTTCATCGTAGAGAAAGCTGTCTCACAGCTGTAAGTTGATCCAAACATGGTTAAGGTGTGTAGTGCTACTTTGGTTAGACCAGGGAAAATGGATTCAGGCACAATCTGTAACCAGAAAGTAGCAGAGTCAGTTGTTTCAAAATGCTCTCTCAGAGCAACATCTGCTTGCAGATCAGTGAGCTCTAACTGTAAAGATCCAGGATGTGCCCACTTGAAGGTCTGTGTCACCTCCTTTGAAAATCCTCTGATTTCTCTGATAAGGAATGGATTCTTGATTAGCAGGAGGAGCTGGTGTCCAAGGTTGAAGCTGTCAAATCGATGACAGAAGTTTCCAATCAGCTTGTCTATGAAGCTGACATAAGGGGAAATGTCTCTCTTACCCTGAATTTGTTCCCGCATTTGTGGGAAGTGCTCACACTCTCCTTGGAGATCTTCTTTGAAAATGTCCAGCTTCATCTGGAAGGAGCGGACAGTTTTCATCATATCACAGACAGAATTTTTCTGACCCTGCAGCTTTAAATTGAGCTTATTAAGGTGTCCTGTGATGTCCACCAAAAAAGCCACCACATCCATCTTGTTGTTATCTTGCAAAAAGTTTGCAAACTGTGTTGCTTTTTGTCTCTTGAGCTGCTGTAAGAAAGCAGCTATTTCCTTTTGGATGGACCAGAAGCATCCCAGTGCATTCCCTTTGCTTAGCCATCTCACGTTGTTGTGGAGTAGTAGGTCATTTGCATCTGCCTCCATTTCTTTCAGAAATTCTCTCAGCAGTCGATGCTGATGGGATGAGGATGCCCTGAGGAAGTTGATGAGTCTCATCATGGTATTCATTACTTCAGCAAACTCTTCAGACAGAATGGCACAGAGAACAGTCTGATGGATGATACAGTGGTAGGCTATGAGATCAGGGTTGTCTTGTTTCATCCGTGCCACAGCCCCCTTCTCTCTACCAACCATGGCAGGTGCACCATCCGTGGTGACTGAGACTACTTGCTTCAGATTAATCTTTCTTTTTGTGAGCATCTCCTTTATCCCCTCATATATATCCTCTCCTCTTGTGTGTGTCTCAAGTGGCATTAAACCCAACAGGTCCTCACACATCTCTTTCTTCTCTTTGTGAAGAAATCTCACATACACCAAAAGCTGGGCATTATCTGTTACATCTGTGGACTCATCAATGGCTAAGGATATGCATACTGTGTTTTGAACAGCTGCATCAAGCTGTGCCAGTACATCCTCTGCTAATAGTTCCGATTTTCTGGTTGTTGTTGAAGCTGACAATGGGATTTGCTTGATTTTTTCCACACGTCATTTTTTTTTTTACCGTCAAGTAAAGTCTCTGCAGCCGCATTTAAGCACTCCTTCACCACTGTCCCATCGCTGAATGCTTTCTTGTGTTGCGCCAAATCCACGCAATCTTAAGTGAACCCTCATCTGCTCGTTGCTGGCCTGTAAATGCATGTGAGGACACGGGTAGACCGGTCATACTGTGCTTTCAGTTCGATCATTTTACTTGCCCTCACTGCGGACTTCTGCGGGTATGTTTCATCAAACGATCCGTGTTTGGTCTCATAGTGACGCTTAACGTTGCTACTTTTTATTAACGCCATAGTTTCACAGCATATGAGACACAGGTTTAGAACTGGCTGCAGGTAGAATGAACATGTATTGGTCCGTCCATTCATCTTTAAAGGTTCAGTTTGCACTGTCTACTTTTCTCATTTTTGAACAAGTCATTTTCACTCATCTCCCCTCTCTCTCTCTCTCTCTCTCTCTCTCTCTCTCTCTCTCTCTATC